ATGTTGGAGACTAAATATAGGGAATAGGATTTGGTATTCCAAATTAAGGATAACAAAGTGACTCCCTATATTTAGTCTCAACATAGGGAGCATTGTTGGAGCAACTTTCCCCCTCCTACTCCCTATATTTAGTATAGGACATGATATAGTGAGCCATTTGGGGAACATTGTTAGAACACTTACTCCTTATTTGGCTCCCTATTTCCTAAGATGAGAGATTTGCTCCTCAAATATAGGAAAAATACTCTTGGAGATGCTCTAACCTCTGAAGTTATGGTGAGAGTTGAAAGTTATAATTTTATACTCCAACAAGTATCTCCCATAAATTGCAAACTCAACACTGCATAATGTGAGCTCATTAGATGCAAGAATGTTAAGCTGAAATGTTTTCCTAGGTCATTTCTACCTTAAAAACAATATGGTAATAAAAACATTTCCACCATATAAAACAATATGGCAGTTAAGAGCACCCTATATGTTCTAATAGGCAATTAATTCACCCCATAAGTGATCAATATATGCATCACATGAATATGAACTAGAGTCAGTAATGATGTTTTAAAGGTTTACTGCTCTTATATGTCATAAGCATGCAAATTTATATGAACCTAGAGAAAGGAGTAATCAGTCAAATTTTTGATAGATTGTTACTAACCTCTGGTATAATGAACTTTCCTGTGAGGAGACAGACAGCAGGAAGCACGCAGTACGCAATCAGAGGAATTGATGTAAGAGGATAAACAATAGTGTTGATATATGCAAGCCTCTCTAAAATTCTCAGCCTTCCACTGTAACCGTACCAAATAGGGCAATGTCTACTGAGAAGAATTTCTATTGAACCCAAAGCCCATCGAAGCACTTGATTGAGACGATCAGAAAGATTGATGGGAGCTGAACCCTTGAATGCAGGGCGAGTAGGCATGCAGTAGATTGATATCCACCCTCGAGCATGCATTTTGAATCCAGTCAAAATATCCTCAGTGACAGATCCATAAATCCAGCCAATCTGGTAGGAAAGTCAGAGATTCAATAGCATTACATATAATGGGTAACTTACAAGAGCCTCCTCCATCTATAAAATGTTCAACAAAAAATCCCCTCGTCTATGATCATTAATGAAACCATTAGTGTTCTAATGGGGTTTGGTTTTTTAGGCGTCTGGATAAACATATGCGTGTAGAACTCTAGGTTAAAGATACATGTATACTTTATCAGAGAACTAATATTTTTCTTCTATTTTCCTCCTTTGTATTCCAAAAGTCTACAGATTCTGAAGTGTGTAGACACCTGTCTAGATGTTTACCCAAATGCAAACATTTCTGCAAATGCCCGAAGAACAAAACTCAATTACAAATGTAGTAGTTTCATTAACGATCATAGATGCTTTTACACAGACAAGAGGGCTTCTTGAAAAACACGGTATAAATGAAGGAGGTTTCTAATAATTTAAACTTAAATGATTTCTGCCAAAGGAAGTCAACTTTGAGTGATCTAATAGCTAACCTCTTTCCCCCATTCAGATTTGTCTTCGTACCCGCAGCTAATGACATGAATAGCTTCTTTTAGCAGTGAAGCTGGATTTGTAGATGGTGGTATGCCTCCTTGTTCCATGAAGGTTGATGCAATGAAAATTGGTGACTGACCGAAGCGTTTCTCTAACCTCTTCTGGGACATTAGATGTGCTCTCTCATCTTCATAACCTGAAAGCAGTTGATGGTTACAAGTTAACAATTAACTAAATGAAGTAAATGCAATTAAAACAACTGCAACTGAAAATTCTGATGTAACACAATAAGCAAGATAAAGATTCATATAAACGAAGATACAACTGATGTTGGCACGATGTAGAAATGTTCTCTACAAACAATTAAACATTCCAATATTAGGGTAGTTATATGTCAACAAAATTCTTTCACTTCCTCAAGTAAACATGCAGGTGTGTCACATGTGCAACTAAAAGATTACATACGCATAACATGTATATGTACATATACAATTTTTACCTTTGCATACATGTTAGTGACTGTGTCAGTTTTGTTTGCATGTGTGTGTACGCCATGTAAGAACAAAGAACTAAGCAAAATGAAGCATGTGAAGTAGCATGGGTATTGAAAATTGTTTGAGCCAGGAAATCAATCCAAAGAATGAACTTGAAGAGTTTATGTAACCATACCATCTATACCCTCTTCAATGTCCTCCATGTTGAAAATGGGAGTGGTGGATTCAGTCCTCTTCATGGCACGCTTTTTATCAATGTAACTTTTACTCTTACTCTTTTTCTTTCTTGAACCACAGCAGCTTTTAATAACTATGTTAGGCTCCAAGTCAGCCTCTGTAAGGACAGGATCATACCCATATAAGGCCTGCCTGTTGAAACAGCATCCAGTTCCCACATAGACAGGGCCCTGGATACCATCTAGACCTCTCAAGTTGATCTGTAGAATATAATATCGTTAAATAAAAAGTCAACCAAAAAAATAATAGGGTCAATTGCACATACACCCTCTCTGCCATCAAAGTGTGCCACATATACCCCCTAAACTATTTTATTAGCACTTTCCCCCATTGAATTACGTACGTGGGGATCAGTGATGATAGATAGCTTTTGCGGTTTAAGTGAAAAGAAGAGACTTAAGTTGTACTCTAAACTGAGGTCAAAAACTGTCGTCTCAAGAAGTGTATAGTTAATTTTTTAAAAAAAGTTTTTAGGAGGTGTAAGTGGCTATACTACCACTGTACATGGATAGTATCGTATGATTAACCCCACATAATATAATGTCATATAATTAGATGAAACCGTACATCAAAAAAGACGATGTTACGATTGGCATATCGATCATGCAAGTCAATGCCATCAAATCTTTGAGGGAACTGTACGTAACATGTCTTCTTCCCATAAGCAGGATCCATCATGAAACACATTGCTTCCCGAAGAGCTTTACTGTTATTGAAGTAGTGATCACAATCCACATTTAGAAGATAAGCACCATTAGTTAGGACAGCAGATACGCGAATCTGACAGATACCAGTAACATTTTAGCTCAAAGCCAATCAGAATATATGACACAAACAAAATCATTATTGCTTAACAAGTAACAGAAGGTACAAACCAAAGCATTCATTGCACCAGCTTTTTTGTGATGTTGGAAGCCTGGTCTCTTTTCACGAGAAACATATACAAGGCGAGGCAGCTCGTTACCATCAGTGTCAAGCCCTCCACTGTGACCTAAAAAGACCTGTATTTCCCAAGAAAAATATAATGAAATTAAAAAGGGAAAATTTTTGAATTGATGTGTGCTAAAACATAGTACATAAGAAAGGGTGACAATACCTGAATCATGCCAGGGTGATCTCTCGGATTATTACCGGGCCAAAGAGTGCCGTCTTGCATTGTCCAACCTTCTTCTGGGGTTTTTTGTGCTTTGGCAACAAGAGCATTTATTCGTACTTTGAACTCTTCATACTCCCTCTGCAACAAGTTTGTTGTACTAGTAAGTTCACTTTTTTAAATGAAAAATTGGAGAGAATTACCGATAGCAAATAATATGTATGGGAGTGCACACACAATTTCCTCATTCCCACCTTCATCGCTCGGCGCTCTTTAACAAAAGAAGGTTGAATTTTGTCCTTCAAGTAGTCTATCTTTTGTGCGAAGTAAAACTCTGGAGCCCTGGGCTCAATGTTGTGCTTCTTGCAGAAGGGAACCCACTTCCTAGCAAATTCTGAGGTCTCTGAAAGGGCTTCAAATGTCAACATTGCCGATCCATCATCAGAAACATAGCATGAAACTTTGTCAACAGGGTAGTCCACAGCAAGAATTGACAATACAGTGTTGGCTGTAATAAGAGGAGGTTCTTTCAGAGGATCCACGGTGCTGACAAAAATATCAATGGGAGCTAATTGCGAAGGCTCTCCTTCCCTATCATATCTGTCCAGTAATAAATATCAATGAAAAATTAATGATTAGATCATTGAATGTCATGGAAAAGATGGGCTCAATAATTATGTCACACTTCCCACAAATAAGGGTAAATTTTACCAACCACCATGAAGATTTGGGAATTTCGCACAAAACCCTCCAGATGTTAATAAATCATAGGCAACCCCCTTAAACTTGCCCATATCACCATCACTGACAAAGATACTTTAGTTGTCACATGCGGAGCACATGACAAACTTTAGACACTTTTATCCCCGCCCTATCTACTACATATCGCTTCTGTATTATCTTTTCCCAGCGAGGTAGGTACAAAGTCAAAAACGAAAGTTAGGCCTTTTACTCTACATGTTAACGACATTTATAAAATTCTGATAGTTCAGGGAGTTACGTAAATTTTTTAAAGCTCAACAGGTTTATTAATCTTTCAGGGGTTTTTTTGGAGAACACCCAAAAGTTCGGCAGGGGTTTTTGAGATGCACCAAAAAAATTTATGTCACTAACCTCAATGCAAGCCTGTCAAGATATGTTTCCCGGTTTACTGGAGACCACTTTGGAAATTGATCCAAAAGCCACGACAATGCAAACCAAATCTCACATATAACAGATGTTAACCACAATGGGTATGCATCATTAACAGGATGGGTTACACGATACTGGAAGAAGAAACACAAGATGATAAGCCGTAGAATGATCACCACTCGATAAAGGTTCAGTTGATTAGAAGGAATTGACATGGTACGGCTCATAGGCAGGCGAGCATCATCAACCCTGCCAACAGAAAAAGGATAAAAAGCATGAATTTTTTTTTTCAATTTTTGTGGTATAAAGAAAATGGAACATCTGAAAGAACATTGAAAAAGAATTGAGACAAATTATATAGAAATAAATATATAAATTAATACAAACATACATTTGCAAATCGTCGCCATTTGAACCAGTTCCTTCAATGTCTCCTTTTCCCTCAGGGTATTTGTTGGCCATCTGAACTATATTCTTATCCTGTTTTAGCTTCCAACCTTCAACTCTTTCCTTCCAGTCAATACTTCCTAGCCCATATGAATTCAAATCCTTTGAAGGGTCCACAATTCTCACAGGAACTGCAACAACATTCAAATAGCCAAAAATCAACATAAAATGTGATCCCCAACAAAAGAACGATGACAAGCTTTAGCAAGGGGAAACAAATTATTGTTCAAAAAAAGGGGAAACAAATTCAAGTCACCTGGCAGGCTAGGATCAACACTAGAAATAGAGTGAGTCCGTTTCTCTCCATAGCCTAAAGGGCCTGATGATCTAATGGACTGACGATCAGGTGAAGCATCGGGTATTTCACCAGAAACCTGCATATATTGAGTTTATAGGTAAGACTAAGGAGAAGGAGACCAAATGAAACATATTTTTATTGGATTGTGTCATTACTCATTTTTGTTATAGATGTCAATGAGAGATTATATAAATATAGTCATAGCAAATGCTAATGACAACAAGCAACCCCTGGAAATCAGTAGAGTACAAGGTTGAGTGAAGAAAAAACAAAACCAAAGCAGGGTCCTGGCCGGCACATTCATCTGACCAGTATCAAACACATATAAGATTATGACAACGATGATGGCAATGAAGACGACGATGACTTTAGTATAAATAAAATCAGCAACAGAATAAAAAATAATAAATGTACTTGTAAAACTAATTAGAATATTGCAGCAAGAGATGGAAACTTTGCAACAGGATGTGGATTAAGTTAAGTAAATAGAAATCAAGCCCTACTCTTCTTTTCTTCCATTTTTTCACCCAAAATATCATTACATGATAGTTAAACACAGAGTAAGATCTTTGACCCAATTCAAAACCTGTTGGAAAAGAAAGCCAGGGGCACAACTCGTTCTTTCTTACAAGCAAACAATAACCCAACCTGCTGGAAAAAGAAACCCAGGAATACAACTGATTCTTTCTTATAAGCAAACAATAGTTAGCTTCTGTCCCAAAAGCTGCTGATCTAACTATTCTGCTGACTCAGCAGTTTAATGGCTCCACAATCCACATATAAATTTTGTACTTATATACATCATAGTATCTGTATCATACGTTAAAACCGAAGTTACTAAAAACCAACTTTGAAGAGATAATTGACTTTTCCAGGATTACATTCACCAATAAAGAGTGATGTGATTAGCAGGTGAAACCAAAGTATGCAAAGTGAACTAGAACCATGAGGAACACACCCACCCGAAAAAAAAAACCTCACCAATGTGAAAATAGAGAATATGCTAAATCCTAGAATAGCAATCACAACAAAGAAGGATGATGTGTTTGGAGAATTCTTTAATAATACAAAGTTCAACTAATAAGAAAATTCTGTCATACCTGCTGCCCACTGGTCAGACGGGGAATACGGTGTTGAGACTCATGTCTAGATGATGAAGATAAATCAACATCTTCTTCCTGGCCTTGCTGCCATGGGCGTACTATCTTGCCATTGCCATGAGTGTAATTGAACTCGTTATCCAGATCATCAACTCCATCCTCTTCATCATCTCCCTCAACTCTAGGACTACCTGATATACCATGAGGGATACACATTGCAAGCTTAGAACTCTGCTGATTATTAACTATTACCAAAGGCAAAGTACAAACACGCATATAAAAAGCAATTCAAGATCATGGTATTAAAATTATTGAAAAGGGATAAAACTCTCTCTCTTATTCTGTTAGCCAGATTATTTGAATGGTTCAAAAGCAACAGATTTATTGATGAATTTTGAAAAAACAAATCATTTGTAATTAGTTTACAAAATATACTAGAGTTTTATAACAAACAAGCATATGCATAGCATAACATTGTATATTTCTTTGTATTCTTATATTCATGTGCTTGGTCTCTTCTTTTTCTCTTTATATTATATATATATATAAAATAAAAGTGTGTGTGTGTGTGTGTGTTTTGGGAGGGGGGAGGTTCCTAATGTGTCACCTCTTGATGCATGGATTAGACTATTCCAATGAATGATCCGCTCCATCATCATAATCTAAATGTTTCAAAACATTTATAAAACTAAAAAAGATGATCTTTCAATATTTTGAACACATATTTTTCCTTGTCTCTTTCGTTGTATTGTCGTAAAACTGTTAATTTTACGATCATTTGATGCACGAGTATTGAGTAACTATATTAAAATGCCTAATTTTTTGTTTATATATCATCCAAAACATATACATTGAAATGAACGGAGTGGGTCGGGTAACTTGATTGCATATAACATAGTTTTGAAGGTGAATCCTTAGGTTGAATCTAAGGTGGCACTTATATATATTTATTTATGTTCCAAGGCTTCTAACAACATTACAATGATACACCACATTTTTTTTATTGTATACCAGTAAATTTTAGACCATCTAGTTAAGACTCTAGACCAACATATAACATACAGAAAAATTAAGAAATTATAGAAAGTTCAGCTGACCTTTCTGTCTTTTGTACCTAGTCTTGCATTGAGGACAAGACCGATTCCCATCTTTCCGCTCATACTCATAGCAAGGCCGGCAAACTGGGAAGGCACACTCATTGCAAGCAACAAAAACTTCTCCTGTTGCATTGAGCCCAACAGTGTCACCACAGATCTGACACACTTGGCCATTCATATCTTTCAAAAGCTTGGGCTGCATTAGCAATAGGAACAAAAGAGATCAACTTACTATGATAACTGATGAGAATAAGATTCGAACAATACAACATTTAAAGTTGTAAGCACACATGATTAGCAAATAAATCGCAAGTTTATAGCAGATACAAATTCAATAATTAAACCGAAAGATACTGTGATGATCTTAATGTAGTAAACGTTGTAACAAACTTCCCGGATCCACTAACACATCGAGTATTGAAAGGGGAAAAAACTTCAGTGAAGAGAATAACTAATGCTGCATGTTGATTACAGAACAATCAGGTTTATGTACGAGGCAATTCAAAAGTTTCAATCACATAATCTACAGCGCAAGATAGTATGATAACATCTATCCCTTCATCCTTTTTTTAATTAAATATACAGGCTCTATGGCATAATGCACAGGCCACGACATTAGCCCTTCTAAGATTTTATCAACTATCAACCAATTTCATTGATGCCCAATACCCTTATTAACTTCCTAGTGAATAACATAAACCCAAAGTCAGTCCACAGCTCAAATTTAGTTCATCAACAGATCTATACATTTAATTGCTCCCAACGCCACCTAATCAAATCCACCCCGTTGAAATCCCAAGTCAATCTCCAATCCAATTAAGTTCATTATCAGATCCAGTAACCAAAATGACAAATTTAATCTAATCAATGCCCAAAATCAGAATTTTCACTAGTTGAACAATACAAGATCCAATCTTTCAATGAAAAACATAGGAAATATGAAAATAAATGAAACCCAACTCGGAAAAAAAAATCCGGGGAAAAAAAACTGACCCCAGTTTCTCCTTCGTTTCGAATCATGACGAACTCGTTCCTCTTGTGAGATCCCGCCACCATCCCCGCATTCGCCTCCATTGATCTCTTCTCTCTTTCTCTCTCCTAAACGAGCATCACTTTCTAGAGAGAGAAAGTCTATAGAGAGAGAGAGAGAGGAGCTCTTCGTCTTCAGCTTGATATTGCATTTGCTTATATTTCTTGCTCGGTTTTTGATTGCTGGATTTGATGATGGATTTTCGACTGTCCGATCTAAATTTGACGGTGTAGATGATTTCTGGTGGTGACGGACAAACCGGCTGTTGACAGGCTGGCTGGTGAATTAAGCTGAGGCCAGCTCAGACACTGCACATGCTACTGTCGGTGGACATGGTAGAAACTGTCTCGTCTCTCTTGCCCGTGAAAGCGTGTAATATACTCACCCTCTAAAAAAACAAAAAACTTTTTTTCCTTCTTTATTTAGTTGTTTGAAGTTTTTAAAATCTGAAAAATAAACAGAAAAAATAATGTGTGTTCACAAATTATTTTAGACACACGGAAAAAGATAGATAGCTCTAAATATCTTTAAAAAAATCTTACTCTAAACACCCTTAAATCTCATAAATTTTCAAATAGATATTAGTTTTTCTCATCTTAAATATCTTAATCTTAATATTTAAGCTTTTAAATGTACAAAAAATAAATATCGCAACACTATCAGAAAATTATAGTCAAACAAATACAAAGCTCCACAACAAGTAACAAGTAGGGGTGCATTCGGTCCGGATACGGCTCGGATATGATGCTTATCATATCCATATCCGCTTACCCATCTCGGATACGGATACAGATACAGATATACATCGGTAAGAAAAAATTATAACCATATCCGCTAAAATCGGATACGGTTACGGATATACATGCGGATATATAAGCGGATATGCATGCGGATACAAAACAGATATGAGAAAACTAGATAGTATTGAGAAAAACATAGTTCATGTGATACAAAAGAGTTTGTTAATATGTCCATTATAATTGAAAAGTTAAGATTAGATATTTTGATCATCAAAATTAACCTCAAATCCATAATCTAAGAATCGAAACTATAGTAAGAGTATGACTAGTATGTATTCGGATATTTCGGATACGGATACGGATATTTCACTACAAAACCATATCCATAACCATATCCTATCGGTTATAGATTTGAGTAACCGTATTCGTATCCTAATGGATACGGTGACGGATATTTTCTCGGATATGGATACGGTTTAGCACCCCTAGTAACAAGGCAAAACAATAAGATAGTACTTAATTATGTAAAAAGTAAATAAGGTAAACATATTCAAATATGCCAAACGTGTTTCAGGCACTAACTTACATTAATGTCTATCCATAGTAATAGTTCAGTTACAACATTTTTATGGTTTTTTCTATAAAACTGGCTTGCAATATTTTTGTGCAGATTTTTACAGTTAACAGAACTTCTGTGAAATTTGCACGGAATAAAACATGTGAACCTCGGATTTAGACTTTTATTTTAACGTTGTTATTGAAAACAATCTATACAGGAGATAATTTACTTTTTTTTGCTGTTTTTATCATGCAAGATAGACCGACGTCGGCAACGAGCTTTAACCTAACAACCCCGGATCAAGCTTAACCGATATGAACATTATGTACCAGAGATTACCAAAGTCTCTTTCAAACAAATGATTAAAAAAATTTGTGAGTTGAGAGTATATTGCATGGCCATTAGGTGAAGTGTCAATTAGTAGTGGTTGGAATTCCATTTCAATAACTCCCGATGCCGTAGAGGTTTGATAGTCCTTTTCAAGTATCCAATATATAGGTTTTTTCTAAATCTCAATTCAGATTCAATTAAATGAATAAAATTAGGTCATTCTTTTACGAGCACTATTTATTAACCTACATATGAGATCAACAATCTCAATACAGATATCTGTCGCATCCTCCCATTTCTCTTTAGCGGGAATTATTCATTGGTGTAAATTTAGGGATAATGAGATAATTTTTGGAGCAATATTTTTTGGTGTTATTCATCGGGGTAATTGGGTATGGATTCAACTTTATAGTGTTATTGGTTTGTTGTGGTAATTGTGGGACAAATACACCACGTTCCCTAAAATTACCCCAACTATATAACCCCCCTCAGACCACACCCTCAAAATTACCCCAAATAGCTTGCTGGAACAACAACTTGGGTAATCTTGCCCTCTCACCCTCCTCACAACGTCTCTTCTTCTTCCATCGCATTCTTCCGACTCTAATCCCTCATTTTCCACCTCCTCCGCCGCCGCCTCAATTGGCTAGGACCCAGAGCCTCCGACGCCAATCCCTCCTCCTCTGCCTCCTCCGCCGCCGCCTCAACCGTCTCTCGAACCCAGAGTCACTTGGTACGTGCCCTTTTCCCCCAATTTTTCTTTCCTTTTTTAAAAGTTAATTTAGGGTTTTTTCTCCTTTTCTAAACATCTCCTTTTTCTCTCCTTTTTTGAAATCTAGGTTTTTTAGCTAGCTGAGGTTTTGGATGGATCTATGTGATAATATTTTCTTAATTTGTAGTACTTTTTCAATATTTATATGATTTGTTTCTTAATAATACATTTGGTAGACTGATTTGTTGAATTGTTAGTTACACGCGGACTCTATATGAAATTAATTGTTTGATAATTGTGGGCAGTAGAAGCTTGAACATGTGAGTGATGCAAGTAAATTGTGAACAAGGAAAAGATGTGATTACACATTCCGAAGTTTAATAATTGTATATAGTAGCATTAAGAAAGTGTCTAATGTTATGTTCTTGTATATTGTAAACAATGTTCAAATGTAGATAGCAAGTAAATGTCTATCAATGTAATAAACCCACAAATCTTAGATATAGCATATTCTGTCAATATGCGGAACTTAGTCATATACATAATTGATAATGCATCGCAGCTCATATCCAAGTCAAGGAACTCATAGAATTAGGATTAAGTGCAAGCATATTAGTTTAGTTTATGCAAGGATGCATACTTATATGAAATTAATTGTTTGGAGCTTCAGCGTGTTCTCAAAACCTGTATACTATTATCTATAGTTTTGTTGTTCGAAACTTTATTGAGATCATCAACTTTAATTGTAGCAAGTGAAAACTTTCATCTGTTAATTTGAAAGTGTCTGTTACCTTTAATTTGTAAGTGTCTGTTAGCTTTAATTTGAAAGTCTCAGTGTGTTCAAAACATGTATATTATTTTCTAGTTTATGCAAGGATGCATACGACCACTTGCTTACTTTATTACGGATAAGAATGCATTGAAGATTTCATCGCAATTTGTTAAGATTGGTCTACATAAGGAGTAGTATTTATGTCTATGATGTGACAATTTCTATATACTTGAATAAACTTATCTTGATTACTTCCAATAGATGAATGTTTTTTCTCCTTCGAACATAGAAAATATTTGTGTATGTATGTATGTCCACTGTCCTTCACCAAATAAATTTGAAAAAATATTAGACTGTGGCACACAAACAACCCAACCATAGGAAAAAGGGCATTAACTACTGTTATGTTGATTCACCATAAAATGAATGAAGATTAAAAGGGGGGACATCAAATTTTCTCAGTGTTGCCTTCCTGTGTTTATATTATTTAATCTTATCATTAAGACTAAGACAATTAGTCTTCAGTATTGCATTAGTTTGCTCGCTTTTGCTCTAGTTCTGCATGATTAGGTAACTAGAACAGTTCCAATGTTTTTGCTATATTTGAACCCTTACATGTACATCTACATAAAGCTATAGTCTTAAGCAAATGAATTTTGGTCATTATTGATATTTGCCGTTGTAGGATGAATTTTGCTTCGGAAACTCAAAATGTGGAAGAGTACTCTCAAGATGGTGAGGGAGCCAAAAAAGCTAGGTGTGACTATGTAATATGGTCAAAACAAGAGAATAGAGAGCTACTAAGGCTTTTAGTGGAGGAGGTGAAGAATGGTAACAAGATGGACAATGACAACTTCAAGAAATATATCATCACTCAAAATGTTGCCATTCATGAATGCTAAATTTAGAAGAACTTTTAAATTTGATCATGTAAAGAATAAGATCAAGAGTTGGAAGAGGAAGATTGAACCAATTGAATTATGAGGAACAATTCTGAGTTTGGTTGGGACCCAATATCTCAAAGAATTACTTGCTCCGTTGAGGTGTGGGAAAATTACAAACATATTAGATTCTTAATTACCCAAAGTTTCTAACTACATAATATATTGTTATGTTTGCTAATTACAAAAAAAGAAAAAAAAATTTGTTATCTTTTTTATTTTGACAGGCCCATCCTAATACACCAATGCTTAAAGATAAGTTGTTTAAAATTTTAAGGATATGTGAATGGTGGTTGGTAGCCACTCAGCTAGTGGGAGAGTAGCTGGAGACTTAGGAAGTAAGGGTGTAGAGAGTGCACCATTACATAATGCATTGGGTGAGGGTATATTTGATGATGAGATTGGACTTGATGCTATGGGTGAAGCAGAACCTACCCAACCAACTGTAGATCATCCACCACCTTCCCCTAATAGCACTCCAGATCCTGGCACTCCTGTGGCTGAATCTGTACCATCAACCTCTAGCACTACCAGAAATATTCATAAAGCACCTTCCTGCACCACCGCCTCTGCATTGTCTCAACCCGTTGTGCAAGAAATGGCGAGTGGAATTACAATTATAAGTAAGGGTTTACAAGAGTTAGTCATGTTAGACCCTAGAGGGGGTGATTAGGGTCTTATGCTAATCTAATCCGATTTTATGCCAATTAAAACTAATTAATGAGTTATCCTAGCAAGTATGAAATACAACATGATATGTGAGCTAGGATAAGTAATATGAACAATGAGATATATCCTATATGATAAAAATATATGTAAGGATATATAAACTAATACAAGGGTGATATAATCAAACTATAAAAGTGATAGGGCAAAATATACAAGAGTAATAGGCAATGGCGATATAAGATAAATGCATAAGCAAATGCGCCAATGACAAACTCAAACACACTCAAATGATCACGGATTTCGGACCTTCCGTCATACGTCTCCGCTCCCCACTCCCGGGGAGAAATCCACTATCACAATCCGGTTTGGAAGCCGGAACTTCTACACACTCGGTTTACAAGTTCACCGAAAACTCTCACAAATAATCACTATGCAATCCCACTCTATACCCTCACAAGTGTTGGACCTAGACGTGTCTCCCTCAAGTGCTCGGATACCACCTCTCCCTAGGTTGGTCAACCGACGCCACTCCTCTTGGGACGATCCCCGACTCTCACCACACACTTCTCTCGGTGTACAAGTGTATTACAAGTGATCCTCACAATAAGCATAATATAACAAATGATTGTTCTCTAATATAGATGAGAACACAATGAAAGCTCATACTCAATTGTTACAACTCTCACCAACCCAAATATACTATGTATGAAAATATAATAAGCTCAATGTGGGTGTGTGTAAACTATGAGTGAAATCAAATCTAACTCAAATAGCAAACTAGCAATAATAAGAATATAAAAATCAATAATAAAATTGCTAGAGAAAAGAGTTAGAAAACTTCTCTATAAATACAAAGAGAGGATGATGAAATGTTGAAGATGAACTCCTCAACAACTAATGTAAGCTCCTCTTTGTAAAAACAAACCAAACAGCCTTTAAACCAAACTTAAAACTAACACTTAAACTCTTTTAAAACTTGTTTTAAAAACTTCTTGGATAGATATAAGAACTGAGGTCAATGGGGGTATTTATAGCCTCCCAAGACCTCAGCCAAAAACCCCAAACAAAAGACCAAAAAACCCCAACCAACGGCTGCAAGAAAATAGCCGTTAAGGTGGAAAAGACAGCGCGGCGGTCGACCGTGACGTTCTCGCGGTCGACCGCGAGGCATATGCAAAGCTGAGTAACTTCCAGAGAGTTTGGCGGTCGACCGTGGCGGTCGACCGTGGGTACTGTAGCACTATGTATCAGTTTTGTAAAATCAATTAAAAATAGTAAATCAGCTCTAAAAATTATTAAATTTTGTGGGAAGTTTCTAGACATGTAGAATGACATGTTAGAGAAAGAATTTCTGAAAAATCATTTCCCAGTTGAGAGAAATAAATATTTTAACACAGATATACAGTTTCTGAAAATCTGCTGACATACACGATTTTGTAAAATCAATTGGGCACAGTAAATCAACTCCAAAAATAGTAAAATTTTGAGGAAAGTTTCTAAACATATAGATAAACATGTCAAAGAAAGAATTTATTGAATATCACTTCTCATTTATGAAAACTCATCTGTTTTGTAAAACATACACGAACATGCACGAACGAAAAACATGATTTTGTAAATTCAATTAAACATAACAAATCAATTTCAAACTTGATGAAACTTTGGGAAATGTTTGCAAATGTGATTTTAAACATGATACAAAAAAGAATTTTTCAATTTGCATTTCCCAATTGTGGAATCTCATTATTTTGCAAAATCACATAAGTATGGACTTGTAAAAGCTTGATCTTGACAAAATGAGTTTAAACAAAGTTTTGAAAACTTTCCAATAGATTTATAAACTTGATAAAAGATATAAAATAATGTCATTAAGTATATAATCCAAAACGATGATAAACCAAACCAAACGTGTGTGTGTGATATTGAGCTTGAAGTATTAACACACATAATATATAAACCTAAACTAAATTACCCAAGCTTGATGAAGGACTTCAATAAGCTTGACTTGGTACACTTGAGGAAGAAGCTTGACTTGGATCTTCAACTTGAATAGCAAGGCTTCACTCCACTATTCCGCCAACCTCCATTGGATATGATCGTGAAGCTCTATTCCATCCATCCTCCAATATATTGTTTGTCTATAATAAATAAATAAAAACACAAACACTAGACAAACAATATTAGTAGTAAATTATTTATTAAACATCATCAAAATAAGAAGGCTAACAAGTCACAGAGGTGAGATTGTTGCGAAGCCGCAACCAACCGTGGGTCGAGGGAGTGGCTTTAATTCTAGAATTTACCGATGAAGAACGATTGACTGTCCTTAGTCAAAATGCATGCATCTTTGTTGTGATGGAATTCTTGTAGTGAAAGTACTTGGTGAATATCTTGTAGTGAAAATCTTACTATGTTTTAATTTCATGATTAATACAGGATGGAAGATAATCAGAATGTCTCTATTTTGCTATTTCATGAGGATACTACTGATTATTTTCACATTCACATTATCAACATGGCTACACAAATAGGAGGTCTAGTCACGAGTATCTCATACCTCATATCACAAGAGGAGATAAATCTACACATCTCCCAACTCAGACATGACATTACGAACCTTGGCCTTCAATATTTGAAATTTAAGATGGAGAGCAATCCACGTGATTTTCGTCGAGTATATCGTATGTATCCGGATTGCTTTATCAAATTGTGTATGGTCTTGCGAGAACGTGGGCATTTACAAGATACACAGTATATCAGCGTTGAAGAGATGGTTGCTATTTTCCTTCTCACTGTTACTCAAAATCAACGATATTGCATCACCACTGAGAGGTTTGATCGATCCCGATTTGCAGTCAATGTTTGTTTCAATAAGGCACTCTATGCCCTTGTGTCATTAGCCCCTTGTATGGTAGCTCCTCCTCCTACCGATCCACCAAAAAAGGTCACATCTGAATCTTATTTTTGGTCTTATTTAAAGGTATTAAAATTTAAATACACTATATAAGTCTTCATTTATTATTATTATAATTTTAAAGTCACATTTCATATATGTTAATGGGAATATATAGGACTATATCGGTGCTATTGACGGGACCCACATTCTATGTATGGTGTATGACGAGGACCAAACTCCATATCATAATAGACATGGCTACCTTTCTCAAAATATCCTTGCAGTATGCATATTTGATCTTAGGTTTTATTTATGTCTTAGTGGGATGGGAGTGATCTGCCAATGATTCACAGGTCTTGAAGGATGCAATGAGTAGAAGTGCATGCAGTCTTCCACTTCCAAATGGTAAATATTTTTTTTATCAAATTGTTAGATTTTATAGTTATTGATTATAATTCTAAAGAAATGTTAATGCATGTAAATTTTATTTAGTTGATTATGGTTACCCAAATAGGCTACAATTCTTGGCTCCCTATCGGGGTATGAGGTACCACCTTAAAGAGTTTGGCCCAGCTAACAACCGTCAGCGACCACGCAATGCTCATGAGTTATTAAACCATCGACATACATCTCTTAGAAATCGTATTAAACGTATTTTTTGTGTTTTCAAGTCTAGGTTTACTATTTTTAAGTCTCAACATCCACGTTTTCTATATGAGACTCAAAAAAGTATGATTTGGGCATGTATCGGTCTGCATAATTTTTTAAAGATGGAGAACTCTAACGATGACTTTGAAGTTTCTGATCTTCCTCCAGAGGCACCACGCAATGTTGCTCCGATTGATGGTGATTCTGATGAGGACGGTGACCTACAAAATCAACAAGCACAGCGGACAACTACATCATGTTGGAGAGAACAAATGGCAAACACAATGTGGGAGGATGGGACAAATGTAGCCCAAGGAGTCTAGAGCAAAGTTATATGCCGATAGATTATATTTGTACTAATTAAGATTTAAGTTACTGACTAAGACTTTATTTATAATAATTGAGACTTCATCATCATCATTGTAATAGATGTAGGAATGATTAAATAATTATTTCAATTGAAAATTTTGTTAATATAGCATAATAGTTAAAATAAACATCAAAATATTCAAAGATTGATTAATATTAATATTATTATATTATTTTTAATATTTTATATTAAAATAATCTTAAAAATAATATTATTGTATATTATAACTATTATTTATTTAATCATTTGATGTTATATCAAGTTAAACTTGAACATAATTGATCTATAAATATCATATTATAAAAAGATACCATATCAATTATCCCACTCAAATTGTCCCATTATCTCATTTTACCCTATTTTATCCCACTCAATTTATCTTATTGGGTAAAATTATCACATTGGAACAATTTAACCCAATTTATCCCCAAAGCACCCCAATGAATAACACCCCCCCCCCCCTCTAGGATTTTATGTGATCGAATATTTTCCATCAGAACATATTTCTACTTTCATACAATATATCATGTGTTGTTGTATGTAAATAACATCTTTGTAAAAGATGAATAAAATCAACTACCGTGTATAAACTGTTTATGTCAAAAAATTAATTTGTGAGCAGGGTGATATTATGAGAAGATTGTGGGTCCTTGATCTCTTTTGACGACTAATAAACTAAACGAAGTAAATTCATGCACAAATAGCAGACCTTAGAGGCTCTAGATGAGTTTCCTTAGGTGTGCCCTGTGATGCTCAAGTTAGTGACTGATAAACCAGTATGAAAAGAAATGTTGAATGTAGCTTAGGGTTTATATAATCCAAACCTTAGAATGGTGGAAATAGCATCTATCTATTTATGGGAGAGTATGGAGGCAAATTGGTAATTAGACCCAACTGACAAAGTTGATATTTTACTTCCGCTTTATACGTGTCTACAGTCGGTAGGGTAAGCCTAAGAGCACATCTTTGTCGCATTTAACGTCATAGTGACAGGGTGAAGGAGTTATGGGCAACATCCGAGAAGTTATTATAGTGTTTGGCCATGCATTTAATACAATTGCAACTGGGCAGCGGATTTACGAGCGCCATATGATAGGTCATCATAGCATCTGGTCGCGCATTTAATGTGAGCAGTACTGATGGGTAGTTGAATATCTATTTTCCTTGCCTTGGGAATAATACTCTCTGGTGGAGTTGATCTAAAGATGCATTTTGACTTAGACTAAGACTATTAGAGAGGCCGGCTTGGCCAGTCAGGCTATGTTTATATTTGGATCGGATTCTTTTGTTACATGGTTTGACCCATCTGACTGCACGTGGTCGATTCTTAAAGGTTTATCAACCTTGTGATTCTTAGGGTGTAACATAAACCATAAAAGAATAATAAATAAAACCCCAACATTAAAAAGAAGAAAATTTGGTGAATAAAATTAGTTAACTATCTTAACATTTAGGGAAAGTAACGTAAAATGCAGGACAAAAATCCAAAGTGTCTTTGATAAAGTGTTTTTAGAAGGAAATTTAGAGTGAGGGAAAGTGAGTTAGAGTAGGGGACAATTTAAAATGAAGTAGAAGTGAGGAGTGAGAAGAACCCCTCTAAATTGCAGGAACTCAAGATCAGAAAGAAAATGAACTACAAGTTAATGTGTTTTCTCTCTACTCCCCTCCTACCAAACAAGAGCACAAGATGTATATACTTCCTTGCACCTCATTGCACCTCCTCTTACCTTACATTCCATCTTCATATCCCTGTCAAACTATGCTTGAGTGGTACTAAATAAGGGTTTTGGCGCCCACTCCCCTCTAAACTTTTCAATTTATCCCTTCATACCCTTTAAATTATTTTTAGTTTCATCTTACTCCTTAAACATGTAAATTTGCCCCTTTTTTTTGCCCTCATGAACTATGTTTAGACCCACATTACCCATTGAACTATCACTTTTGGAACCAAGTTACCACTTCTTCTTTATAAATTTATGAATATTTAAATGGATAAAGTGATAATTAATTTAATGCATAGTGCATTGTGCATGAGTTCATAGTAAAACTGGATCGTCAGAAGTCCAAACATGGGATCGATAGAGGAAATTGACTTGTAACAAAAAAACAGGTCATATCTCCCAAACCATGTGTCGGAATTGGACGAATAATATATAAAAATTATATATTGTTTCAAAACGGAGTAAATCAAACTATCTATTAGTCGGTTGATGCCATCCGTTTTGTGAAATTTCCTCTAGATTGAGATATATTATACTCTTCAACAGTTTTTAACTAATTTAGGTAATATTTTATGAGTTTGTTTTGATTAGGAAATGAATCTTCCAAATTTGATTGATTTGATTTCCTCTATCTTATGGAGTCTTTAAAGAGTAGTTTTATTATTTTTATTTTAGGTAAAGCTCCTTCTACTAGGAGTCTAGTTTATTTTTTTTTCTATTTAACTAGAGGATTCTAAGCCTAGAGACATAACTTTCATCAATAAAATTTCACTTAAAAATATTTTTTTCACGGATTTGAAGATCAATCCTTGTTGACACGAAGAGCACCAATACTTGGTAGATTTCAAGGTTTGTCATCTCTGTGTTGCGTTATAATTCAAAGGGTAAGATGGGAATTGAATGATAGTTCAGGGGTAATGTGAGCGTGAAAATAGTTCAAGGATAAATATGGATGAATTGGTTAATTCATGAGATAAAATAAATCTAAAAATAGTTTAAGGAGCATGAAGGGACAAGATGTCAAGAGGGCAACTAGTGCTCGAAGACATAAATAAGTTTAGGTGGGTTAACTTCTGCTACTAAATGTATAGACGACGAAAGTCACTTTCATTTAATCTTTTCCAAGATGATAGTGTATGAGTGCTAAGTGCTAACCTGAATCGAGAGAGTTATTTGCTAATTAATATATATATAATCTATAGATGAGGGGCTTATATGCAATTTATCCAAGTTTTATTTTTTTTTCAGTTTGATAAGGGAACTCTTCACGATCCTTTGGTCCATGGGTATCAAATCTCCGACCGTGTATATGAAGCATCCCCCAACGTGTAGCTTCACGTATTCTAAAAAATTAAATTCTTGTAGGTGCGCCCTACGTAAGTTTCATTTCACTAAAATTGGGCATGACTATACTAAAACATTTATATATACTAGGTGAATTGCACATGCAATGCACATGGTATAAACTTTTAGATTTAGCTAAAATTGATAATTTAGTTTAGCATTTCACTCTAATTTATTCATTGAATCCTTTTAAACTAATTTGGAGTTTGTAGAGATGTTTAAACAAATATATGATAGCCTAGTGAAGACCCAAAAGGAGCATCGCTCTTTTGGAAATATTATATCTCTATTAAAAGAATAATTATATAGTAAGACTTAATTATAATTTGCATGTAAGATTGGTTCATTAATTTGCATTCAACAATTTTCAGATTTTTATTTTTCAATGTACAGAAGAATATAAATCAAAATAGTTTATTACACTTATTTCTAAATGAATATTTTCTCGTAAGTGGGGTATCAAATTGTTAATGTTAGTATGTAGAAAGATTCTTTAACTCGGTTCCAAACCTTTTAAGTGTTGGAAATATAGGTAAAAGTGCAAATTTACAATTGATAATTTTATTCCTCCTTATAATGATGTTAAAGGAATTGACGCACGCATGCTCTGCACAATTTTATACAATATGACTAAAAGTAAGAACAAGAATACCAGTTTTAAACATAACTCCGCATTATAATTTGCTTCTCAAGTTACCTCTCCTCCATGTTTTAGTACAATGTCTTCAACAATATCACTTAGCATTTCAATGTACTGGCAAAAGCCAAGAATGCATAGTCTTCTTCCACTGTCAAGTCCCTAAACTAAAAATGACAATAAAATTTTTCAGCCAAATGCCATATTGTAGAGTAAACAGAAAGATTAGTTAATACAGGGGGTACTACTTACATTCATTACAGCAATATCAAATAGGGCACTAAGACAAAGAGCTTGATCAGGATCCATGTAATCACTCTCCTGAAAATGCTGAAGTTTATGTGATGACTTTAATCTCCCTTTCCCCTTCTACACAAGCATTATAAGAGTAGGTATCTTCAACATAAAAGGAACGTATGAAAAAATATAAACTCCAAATAAATGATGTTAAAAGGGAAAAATTGGAAGAATTTTCTGAACCAATTTGTTAGTCGATCTAACTATTTAACTACATCGTAAAACCTTTTTTACATTATTAAATTTATGTGTTTAAGAAAAAAACAAATTAATTAAGAGAATATGCTTCTTAAAAAAATGTCACCTTTTATTTATATGAGCCTGTGTGTTCAAGCTTTCCTTTCTATAAGGATTCATTACCCTTTCTTTTTGGATGTAAAATATTAGGAATAAGATTCCAAAATAGATCTAACAGTAACACTTGAGTTAAATAAATTTTAAGATATTGATAGAAAACTTTAGCATGTCAAAATAATTCCATTGAGAAAAAACTTTTCCATGAACAACCTTAAAGTTCTAAATTTATGAATAAATACCGATAAGTTCTCAAGAATTTGAAGACTTTCAAGAGATTAGCAGTTTATGGTGCATTTCAACAAAGGCTAGAGTGAAATTCAAATCCTCTTTTAAAGGAATCAATATCTCCAATTACTTTTCAAATTTATTACTTTCATGGCTCCTTCATACTTGCTGGTATTGCAGGCCCATACATGAACAACAAATTAGCGACATTTTAGAGATGATGATCTCAAATAGTGTTGTACCAATTAATAATATCAATCTTTTAAATTGTTCTTATCTCCTCTACTTTCAATTTTGAAGCTTAATCAATGGTGAAATGTGGTGCATTGGAAATTTAGTCTTCCCACTACTTTCATTAGGTAATAGTTGTACTTTGTCATATTTTTTTTTGCATGTTTGCGATTTATGAGGTTTTAGCAAATCTGAATATGATTCAAAGAACTTTAGAAAAAGGCTGTCAAGATTGTTCTATAGGCACATACATGAAGTTTAAGGTGAAGAGTATGCTTATTGAATCATTATCATACTTAGTTGTTGTCGACAAATATGGCATGGTAGTTGAGTACTATGGACA